AACACAACTCAAAAAGTCAGAGTCTGCAGAAAGCAAAAACACAAAACAAACTTCCACTTGAATAGATCATAATTTCAGTCATACCTTAAGAGATGAAATTAAGCGAGGAGATCTCCCACACCGTAAAGGAAAATGCAAAGGAAAATACCTCATGGCCATCATGGCAAGACAAGCAACATGCAGTGCAAATTCCAGCATTCCCATCAGGGGTGCATGTGAGGCAGGAGAAAATTGCCTGTCTTTTCATGTAACCTTTAGGATATGTACATTCATCGCCCTCATCTCCACCCAAAACCAAATCCGCTTCCTTCAGATTAAAAAAGTAACAAGTTACACATTGCCAAACAGCATATATAGCTCAAAGAAGCACAACAACAACAACAGAATCAACCAATAGCTAGTTCAATCTTCCTATACTTAAGAATCATTGCAGCTAATACTTTTTCAATCTAAATTTACAATAGAAGATATATTTGACCAATCTCAAACTAGCATGCTTATGATGCATTCCGCGCTAGTATAAAATTAACAACATAAAGCTTTATCTCGTGAAATTTTCTCAAAATGTAATCAGCGTTCATACAACAGTTCAAGTATTAAATATGTCTCAACCGAAAATTCTGCTCCGGAAAAGCTAAAAGATTTTGATTTTATCACTTCTACCAAAAAAGAAAAGGGGAAAAATGCCCATGTCCACAAACCAGACGAAAAAAAAAAGCCCCAACTAAATTCAATCATTCCTGCAAAAAGAAACCCTAAACCGATAAATAGGGGGAAAAGACTTTTACCAGCTCTTCTTCTTCGATGCTCTCAAGATACTCGTTGATTGACATGGTCTGCTCACCATCATCGTCGAGCTCGGCAGCCATATTCCCCAAATCACCAGGGCCTTTAAAACCAAATCTCTACTCCTCGAACCTGAAATTGTATAAAAAAATGGAAAATATTAGCAAAATATTTCTGAGATCAAACGGATATTTCATATCTCTTTTACTCTTTTGGGGAAACCTAGCGTTGAGCCCGACAAACAGAAACCCTAGCATCGAAAAAAGGTTACCTTTTCAATCTCGCAATTAACAGATTTTGAGAAGGTTGATGAGTGATTATATTTCTGTTGAAGATAAGCGAGAGAGATAATGAGAGAGACGAAACATAGTTTGGGGATTGAGAATTAGAGATGGGAGGAGTTAGGGTTTTATATAAAAACGGGTAAAATAGAGTGACGAGGGAGTGTGTGCGGACATTTTCCCGCCACAATGTGTCCTCACCGGAATCAAATTACGTGGTCCGTTCCCTCCAATTTGTTGAATTTTATTTTTATTGTAACAAATTATCTTGGTATAAATATTCGAGGTCATCATATTTATTAATTCGAGTGATAAAAAAATTAATTTTTTTAAATAAAATTTTGATTTCAAATCTTATAAATAAAAAAATATATATTTAAAAAAATTTACTCATCTTATAAAATTATATTCAATTTGATTTCAAATTAATCAAAATTTAAAATGATTATTAAACACCAAAACATCTTAAACCAAAAAATATATATGTTTGAGGTTATTTATTTATTTTTCTTGTATCTTGATTTAGGGAAAAAAGAAAATGTTCTTCTGTCCCAAACTGAAATTTATCGGATCCTATTTAGCTCATAGTCAACAATATGTATTAATATTTGTCGTAATGATTTTAGGACCGTCAAATTTAAAAAAGTTTAAAAATCGAAGTAAATGAAAGGGGAGTCACCATCAATCTTTATTAGAGTGTGATTGATCACCTAAAAATTTATCTTTTTAATAAAATTATAAAAACGGACTTAAAGTTTATTAAAAAAATAAATTTTGGTCTACGAAAAAAAATAGATTGGGTTAGGAAGTCGGTTACGCGTAGGAAAGGATTAGCACCCCCAAACGCCCATAAATTGGTACCATTTAATTATGCGCTATTTTCGATGTTTGATAAAAATGATTTTGACTTGAAATTTAATACTAATTCCCTTCATTTGAAAAAAAAAATTTTGCTAAAGCTCTTTATTTAGGAATATTGAGAAAATCTTGAAGTTAAATAATTATTTTAAAATTTTCTAACATCTAGGCAGAATTTAAAATAACTCTTTTCTCTTAAGATTTAACACGATAAATCTTAAAATGAAATAATAATCTTTATAGAATATAATTATTAGTGACTCTCCAACTTCTAAACAGAGTACCAAGAATTATTTTCTTCGAAATATTATTTTTATTTTATTTTATAATATCACAAAAAAAAATTTTAATGTATTATTCTTTTTTTTATTATAAAATATTTTATCATCAAACAGTAAATTAAAGAGAGAATAATGTCGATAATTATTGATGATAACACGCTAACGTATGTATGCTAATGGATGTCATGTAAAATGAAATACAATTTAAAAGTTAGGTTCTTAAGTATAATGAAACCACCCCGACTCTCCAACATCTAGGCAAAGTTTATGTGTGACTGTTTATGTTTAAGATCTCAATTTATTATGATATTTTTTATTTATTAATCTTATTAATCTTATTATTAATGTGAATTAATAACTCGTGTGAGAAACTTAATGAAATAGAGTTTCTTAAATACCCCATCATTTAGGCAGCATTCAAGAACAAAACCATTTCATGTGAGATTTTCACACGTATCCTTTAAGGTTTTTGAAAATAGATTTTAGGGTTTGATTTTAGAGGTTTGAAGGATTTTAGGGTTTCGATTTTAAAATTTGAGGTTTGAGGTTTTTATTTAAGGATTTGAATTTTAAGGGGTTTGGATTTAAGAGTTTAAAGGTTTGGGATTTTGGATTTTGGGGGGTTTTGGATTTTATGGGGGTTTTCGGATTTTAGGGGTTTGGATTTAAGGGATTTTGGATTTTTAAAGGTTTCGGATTTTAGGATTTTGAAAATTAAGAATTAGTGTTTAAGGTTTCGTTTTTAAGAAAATACAAACATCTCTAAAAATTCCCAACATTTAGGTGAATTTTCGAAGCAAGTTCAATTTTTATGATTTTTGAAAACTAATTAAAAATTTCTTATATATTTCTTTTTATGAAAATTTATTAATAATAATTCCCCAACATCTAGGCGAAATTATTTCTTTAGGAAAATATTTTTTATTCCCTCCAACATCTAGGCAGGAAAAATAATAATTATTATTCTATTATTTTATTATTATTATTATTATTATCTTTAGCATTTTTAATATATATTTTTAATTATTATCTTACTTACTTTCATTTTTATTATTATTAAAACAATTAAAAAACTTATCCTAACAAATTTAAAACTTATCATGCATATATATATAAAAAATACTTAAAATAACAAAAAAAATTATATATAAAAAAAATTAGAAATTTCAAATTTTTTTTTTACCTAAACCGGACCCGTCAACGGTGGTTCGGTTGGATCGAAAAAGGTTTAGTTCGGCGCGCTGTTCGATTGAGCCGGTTGAGGAACAATTCGGATCGGTTCGATCGATTCACTGGCAATTCATCTAAACCGACTAGAGGTTCGCTGAGGCAGGTCGATGGGTCAATTTACGCAGATCTCGGGTTGGGTTCGGTCCACGCGCGGATCCTCTTATGCTTGAAACGACGTCGTTTTGGCCCTATGCTTAAAACAACATCGTTTTGCTTCTATGTTTTCTATATAAGTCAGTTTTTTTCAGCTATTTCACCATTTTCACCAAAAAAAATTTTCAGAGCTTTCAGTTCTCTCTATCCTTTGTCGAAATCCGGTGCTGTGCGTTGCATCAACCGCCGTGTAGGTCGCAGTCGACGATGGTCACCGGTGATCGAAAATTTTGACATCCTCTTGGAAGCTCTTTTCGACGCGATCTTTTCAGATCCGATCTTTTCTTTGTCGAAAACGACCCCGATCGATGTAGATCGGGGTTCAAAGTTTTCTGTTCTTTTTTTTTTAAACTCAAACTAATAACCTTTCTTTTTTGTTGCAAGTATCTCTTTGGCACTTGGTTCTTCATCGATTCGGTAAGAACTGTGATTTCTGTTTTATGATTTTTTTATGTTGATTTTCGTAGATCTGTTTATTATTTTGTTTGGGTATTTGGGGGTTGTTTAGTTTTTTTTTTTTTTTTCTGAGAGGTTGTTCGTAGGGGTGCGTATTTTTTGATGTTCTGGTGAGGGGATATCCAAAAGTTTCAATCAGCTCTGAAATGAGGGAGAATCGAGTGTTTTATATGGTTAAAAATGATGGTAGCGTGTACTGATGGAGTGAAGGGACTGGATGAAAGGGTGGTATGATGGCTGGTGTAGTGGCAGGGCATGGGTGGCTTAGCAGGGTGTGGGTGGCCAGCGGTGCCGTGCACGGCACATGCTGGCACTAGCCTTTTCCATTTTGTTTCTTTTGTTTGGATTTTTCATTTGTCTTTCTTTCTTCTTTTTTTTTTTTTAATTTTAATTTTTTAATTAATTAATTTTTTTAAATTATAAAAAATGTAGATCCGGATAAAATTCGGTATCTACAACTATCTCTCTTTACACATTATTGAATATCAGTAATAGGGTAAAGATAAAGACAACGATTTTGTCCGAAGCTAACTAACTAAATAAAAGCTATTGGGATTAAATCGTAAGTCGAAAACATAAGAATGACCAAGATTAAACCATAAGTCGGAGATTAAAGACAACTGGGATTAAATCGTAAGTCAGAAATAAAAATGACAGGTTAAACTGTAAGTTAGAGAAATAAAAATGATTAGGATTAAACCACAAGTTGAGAAACTATAGGAATGACTAGGATTAAATCGCAAGTCAAAAAAATAAAAACGACTGGGTTAAACTGTAAGTCAAAGAAATAAAAACGATTGGGATTAAATTGCAAGTTGAGAAACTATAGGAATGACTGGGATTAAATCGCAAGTCAGAAAGTAAAAGCGACTGGGGTTAAATCACAACTCGAGAAGTAAAGAATCGATTGAGACAACATCGCCAATCAAGAAATAACAAGATCAGGATTGAACTCGGATTAAATCACCAGTCAAAAATGAGGAGAGCGGGATTAAACAACGAGTAAAAGAAATACTAAGGATCAGGATTAAACTACAAATCAAAGAATAAAAAGATCGAGATTAAACCATGAATTAGAGAATAAAAAGATCGGGATTAAATCGCGAATCAAAAAATGACATTAACTTGGATTGAATCACAAGTCCGAAAATAAGGAGATCGAGATTAGACCACGAGTCAAAGGATAACAATAACCGAGATTAAACTATGATTTTGAATTAAAAAGAGCAAGATTGAACCGCGAATCAGAGGATAAAGAGACGGATTAAACCGCAAGTCAGAAAATGATGTTAACTTGGATTGAATCACAAGTCTGAAAATAAGAAGATCGAGATTGAACCACGAGTCAGAGGATAACAACAATCGAGATTAAACTATGATTTTAAATTAAAGAGATCGAGAATGAACCGTGAATCGAAGGATAAAAAGATCGAGATTAAACAGCGAGTTAGAAAATAACGTTAACTTGGATTGAATCACAAGTCTGAAAATAAGAAGACTGGGATTGAACCACAAGTCAGAAGATAACAACAATCGAGATTAAACTGTGATTTTAAATTAAAGAGATTAGGATTGAACCACAAATCAAAGGATAAAGAGATAGAGATTAAACCGCGAGTCAAAAAATGACGTTAACTTGGATTGAATCACAAGTCTGAAAATAATAAGACTGGGATTGAACCACGAGTCAGAGGATAACAACAATCGAGATTAAACTGTAATTTTAAATTAAAGAGATCGAGATTGAATCACGAATCGAAAGATAAAGATATCGAGATTAAATCGTGAGTCAAAAAATAAATGACTGGGATTAAATCACGAGCCAAATATTGATAACGACTAGGATTGAACCACAAGTCAGAGAGATAAAAGAAACTGAGATTAAATCGCAAGTCAAAAAATAAAGAAATTACTGGGATTAAACCACGAGCCAAATATTAAAAATTATTGGGATTGAACCGCAAGCCAAGGGCTTATATAAGACTGAGTTATGAGTTGAAGAGGATTAGGTACCCTATAGATCGACAGTTTCAATTTTTGGGAATGTGCTAACATACCATCTTCAAGGCCATCATCTTTGTTTCCAAAAAGAAACATATTGATTCTTTTTTATGTCTCATAAAAAAACCTTCTATGTAACTTATCAAGAGATATGTAATGCATGTAATGATTATGATGAATGAAAAAAC